TTGTGGGGGCTTGGGACCACCAGTAACGCCACGATTTTGGAAACCTCCTTGGCCACGACGATTATTGAGACGATTGCCGGCACCGCCACCGCGATTGACCATCTTTATGTTTGTTTTACACATACATAGTTCATACAATACAATTGAGTAGTTCGTATATATACATTAGTTTATAAAATTTGTTTTTCGTTTTTTTTTTTCGTTTTTGTTGTTGTTGTTCATTTTGTAAATATGGAAACGCATGGAACACATGGAATGAATAGATATTTCGATCGATATCGTAATCGTTATCGTTATCGATATGGTACAATTATAAATTGATCGTTACAGATATACAATTAAATCGTTATAGATATAAATAATGGCAAAACGAACGTATGCATATAAATATATTTATATATATGGCAATAGACCATTTACATTATTTGATTGTTCAGCGGAATAAGTTTCCATTTTGACAGTGGGACAGAAATCACATTAAAGTAGATGTTGATATAGATAGATAGATAATTATATATATATATATATATATATATATAGATTATATATAGATAATGGCAATTGGTCAAGTCGGCGGGGCGGTTCGCGCAATCAGTCGACGGGGATGTTTGTTGTTGAAGTCGTTGGCGTGGCGGCGCGTGGCATTTTGTGGTGTTAATTTATGTTTTTATTTTTGAATATATTGAGAAACACAAACGGGCGGGCATAAGAACCGAATTGGATTATCGGTTATCGGTTTTGAGTTCGATTTCGATTATTCGAGTGAGTTCGATCAGAGCAGGAACGTTGAAGAAGAGTGGCGATGTGTTAAATAATTGTTTTTGTTATTTATGTTTTTTGTTTTTGTTTTTTTTTTTTTTTTGGTAATTGCAAGTTACAGTTGCACCATCAATCAGTACCAGTACCAGATCGGATCGGGTTTTCAGTTTCAGAGCAGAGCAGATTAGAAGAGTTCAATCAATCAATCAATCAATCAGTGGGCGTCGCATTGGAAGTGGCATCGCATCGTTGTGTTCATAATTGCGTTTTTTTTATTGCATTTTGTGTGTTGTGTTGCGTTGTTTGTTTGTTTGTTTGTTTGTTTGTTCGTTCGTTTTGTTGCATGTGCCGCAAAATTGCCATGTTTATTAATTTAGTTGATTTTTGTACATTTTATATTTTTGATTTAATTTCGAAATTGATTTGCATCGGTTTTTTGTTGATCGGTTCATGCACAGTTGTGTGCGCCACACATAAATAATAAAAACAACAAATTATAAATTTTGCATAAACATTGTCCCAGAAAAGACAACACAATCGCAAAAGAAAAGTTTTGTTGGCAGACACCAGCGCAACAATGGCAGCAACAACAACAACAGCAACAACAACAACAACATTGGTGACAGCAGCAGCAGCAGCAGCAACAACAACAACAATCACAGAATGCACGCAGTGACGACAACGTCGGAGACATCGGCATTGGATATATATATATATTTGATATAGATATATATATTTGATGTATAGGCACAAATGGATGCATTTCGAAATGCGTTTTCGATTTCGATTCGATTTGCGTTTTGTGAGTTTGTTTTTGCAAACAAGCATCGAATGATTTTTATTTTTTGGTTTTGGTTTTTAGTTTCGTGTAGAAGAGAATAAAAATAAATATTTGTAAATTAGAAAATTTGTGATTTGTTAAAAATCCAAAGATTTTTGATATTATTTGTACAATTTAATTAAATGCCTAAATACATCTAAGTGAAATATGTTGTATAAGTTTACTTTAAAGCATTGCTGTCTAAATATATCATCAGTATATTGTATACTATTATCATCATCATACTCTTTTCATCTTTTAAATGGAATATTTGTTGGCGGTACTTCATTTTAATTGGTACAAAAACATTGATTAAATTCAACAAATTGTGCTACACAAACATAAATTTGCATTTAAAATGGAATAAATGCTTTTTTTCTATCGAAAACCTTCTCCTTCTCCTCCTCCTCCTCAATTACACAATAAACAGCAGGGTTCTCTCTTTCTCTCTTTATGGCAAATTTGTTGAATTATTATAACTTTTTAGTTACAAACTACATACTACGCGATTTTTGTTTGTCTCTAATTAAAGCTTATGTCTTAATAAAAATCATAATATAAAGGGTTTCAATATTATCTCATTCTGCAGTGGATACGACAGGGCAGGAGTTGGTTTGTTTTGGGTTAGACACACTTCTCTGATGTTATCAAATATATATGAGTTAAACAAGTTGTCTGTAAACAAAACTGAAACATTTCCAATTGATAAATGCCAAAAACAAATTAGATATTAAAATTGAAATTTCGTTATTAAATAAGAAATTGGTTCAAGTCCTTTAAAAACGAAAAAGTAAACATGGCAAACAAATACTCTTATTAGCTTAAGGAACCAATTTTACATACGAGTCTATCTACAAAAAGACAAGATATTTTCAAGCCCAAAACTTGTGTTAAACTCAACTGCGCGCACACTCAATCCACCGGAGAAGAGAAAAAGGCACAAGATAAATAAAAGTATTCATAGAATGTTGTGTGTGGGTAATCAGGTCGATTGCAAACTGAAATATCGTATACATACCGGTCCGCCGCGCTGATTGCGATTGCCCATGCCACCGCGTGGCAGGTCCAGCAGTGAGGGTGGATTCTGATTTCTAAATAGATTGTTCAGCAGATTGTTGGCCAAATTGATGGCCTGGGCGTTCATTTGGCCACCACCTTGACGCATGTTGTTGCCGAATTGGCCGCCGCCGGGATTCTGCGATTCCCAGGGTGACATATTCATGCCGCCCATACGATTGGTGCCCATCGGGCCGCCGTATTGATTGCCGCCGCCAAAGTTACGATTGCGATTCTGATTGCCACGGAATGCCATGTTTGCCTTAAGATTGCTGCCGTTAGCCAAATAATGTGCTGGACGTGACTGTTGTAATTGTTGTTGCGGATTGACCTTAACGCTGCAATAAAAAGACATACGCAATATTATATATTTTATATTGAATTTTTGAAGATATGCGCAAAGACACCGAATATAGGATACTTAAATGGATTTAATGGTGGGTGTAAAATGTATTCAGTATCTTTGTTGGATTTTCATTTAAGACAGCATACCTGACCATTGGATATCTGGGACTGTGGATATATATGTGTATCTTGCAATATGTATATTTTAACTGTGTGTTTTTCTATAAATGTAGTTTTGTGTGTGAGGTAAGCGAAAGCGTGCGTTTATGAAGCGTTTAAGTAATGCAAATAAAAAGTTGAATGCGCGCTGAAAATAAAAACATTACAAATATAAAAACGCATGAAAACTATTTGAATTAGTTAGTATTTTGAAAATGAAGAGCTTTTAAGTTAGTAGAACCTTTGTTTAGTATATACAACAACTATAGCGTGGGGTGAACGACCCAAGCGCCAGTGTTGCCAATTCAGAATTTGGCAAGCTGTATTTTAATAATTCTAGACGGCGCCAAACTATTTAACTTGTTTTTGGTATTTTTATGACGAGACTCATCAATTAGCGCTCAGATATTAGATTGCCTTTAGCATCAGATTCAGCTACTTTTTATAAACGATAGCTGGTAACACTGCCAAGCACAGATACATACACAACAAATGCATTCAAAGAGGGTAGCATTTTATATACATATGTACATATATGCATGTAGTTAATGATGTACTCACTCATATGGTACATATAGAATGCTACCTGCTTGAATGGCGTTGCAGAAAAAAACAATATAAAAAGAAAAGTAGACAGTTTGTTAGCAGAAACATGAAAACTGGTTTTTAGTAGAGCACTCGAAATCTAAACAACATAACCGGCTGAAAATAGCGGCAAAAGCAGTGCTGGCAAGAGGTGAATGCCTATCTAAAAAAAAATAAGATGGCGGCCAAGCGACTTGCTGCGTATGTGTGTGTGTGTGTGAGTGCGTGCGTGTGTCGGCAGAAACACCACCAAGCCGCTGAGTCAGAAAACCGGCATGAAAAAAATGTAGGTTTAAAAGTAGCTGGCTTTCGCTTAAGTACACAGAACTAAACAAAGTATTAAGATTAGATATTACACCATATTTTCTGTCAGACAAAACTGCATTGTGCGCAGTAATAAAAATTATAATAAACGTGCTACAAACTAAAAATAGTTTAGTTTTTTTAATGTCTAGGTTGCATAAGTATATGAAGTATAGCAATCGCGTATAAGCATCTTTAGACACAACGGCAGCAATAAAAATCAATAATTAGATTGCAGGCGAGTTGAGAAAAATATCTGCCAACAGATACACACACACACACACATGTACACGCACCCAGAATTTTTTCACACCTAAGAAACTACGAGAAATCATGCGTGGGGGACTTACGTTGCGGAAGCTATTGATGCTTTGCAGCTCGATGCACTTTATTTCACTTGCTCTAATTATTTAAACACGTTTTTTCCAACAAATTTAATTATAATTTAAAGATGGCTGCCTGTTGTGAAACTATATTCCCACACACGACGAGACAACTTTTCTTAGTGAGCTGCAAGTAATGTGCAGGGCTTACTGCGATAAATAGTGTTGGTAATTTTGTTAACAGCAGGGTTGATTTTTAAGGTTGGCGTTGCCACACTGTAAACTCGATTCGATAGACACGCATTGTTGGTTTTCGTCGGCTGGCGGGATTTTTGAATTATCAAACAGTTAGCCATGTTTTCAAATGATAATGATCCAAGCAATACACTGAATAGCAGAAATACCCATTTACACGTAAAATTTAATTTTTTTTTTGATTTATTTATTTGCATAAAACTGACGTATAGCAGATGCATACGTCCTTGCAATGCATATTTTAATTTACATACAAAGGGATTAAACATATTAATTATAAACGTTATAATAGCAATAATAGTAATTATAATAGCTTTGCATTTATCTAGAAAAATTACTGCTGGCTTTTGTGTAGCTGTTTTAAGTACCACAGCATAAAATAGATTCAACAAAAATATGGTGGCATATCATTTATCTACGTGTTTTGTGTGTGTGTGTGTGTGTTTTCGTTTCTAGTGGACCAGAAAAGTGTCCACTACTAAAAGAATAGAAGATACTACTGTGAGACATCTATACACATTTACATATACAAGTTACATACATCAATTAGATGGCCCATAAACAGCCAAAGGGTGCAGCGAAACGACGATCCAAGCGATCTGCGGCCCGGCTCTCACAATAACTGTGCCCGTCTCATGGGACATGCTGACAATATTATATGCTAACTTTAACGGGATTTATATGGATTAACTTGCGCTATTTAACATAGTAACTACAGAAACACTAACCAATTAGTAAGTTCGCATTGATTGCAATACATATTTGGGATCAAACGAAACGAAAGGATTTGTTGTGTCTTCATCGATTCAAATTACTCGCATACTTAATGTATTTACATAACCCGCCGTCGGCGACGGCGGCCGCACCTAGTAGAAGAAGAGCAGCCGCTCCTGGGCCGATGCGGAGAGCAGGCGCCAGGAGCGTTTAATGCTCACATACTGTATGAACGCGCGTATGGCAATCAGAAAGCCAAAGGCGCAGATAAGCCACCAGAGCCAAGAGTTCTCGTGCGATGCCAAGTCCGTTGAGTGCTTCACAATCAGCGTCCATTTGGCCAGTGACAGTCCGAAGCCGGACAGCGCACCATAACGTGCCGCAATCGTATGACAGAAACAGGTGAGCATCAGAAAGCCAATCCAATTGAACAGAAATGCGACCATAAAGGCCGTTATGAACATAATGTCTGTGCCCAGTAAATTATCTGTGGTCGACAAACTGTTCTCCGGATCGCTCGCATCGATGGCAATGAACGTCAATGCCGGATGATTGCTGCGCACGGCGGCCGGGCCATCGCGCAGCGGATTGGGCGGCAGCGGCAGCAAGGGATTCGGTGGCGGCGGCAACTGTTGTGTCGATGGCAATGTCAGAAATGCGGGCGGCAGCTCTCCGTTCAATGACTTCTCCATTTGCACCTCCTCATAGGTGGGCAGCTTGCCGTGCAGCTCTTGCGGCAGCACCAGCTCGCTCTGCGGCTGACCTCCCTCCCCGACAACATGGTGTGTGGTCAGCGCCAGCGAGGGCAGCTGCGGCGCCAAGCCCAACTGTTCCTGGCCACCCTGACCCTGTGCGTCCGGCTCATAGGGCGGCGGTGCGCTAAAGTCCGCCTTGGGCGGGCCCAGCGGATCATCGCCAGGCGGCGACGATCCCTGCTGCTGCTGATTGTTGTGCGGCATAGCTGCAAAGGAAGAGCATACAGTGGTCGGATTAAAGAAAAGTTTACACAAGCTGCAACTGCAAAAACGGAAGAGGGAGAGAGAGAGATGGATAAAAAAGGCGTTTTAATTGCTTGGCACGCATTTATTAAACGTTGTTAACGCGGCGTCATTTGTTAAATAAATAATTAATTAAATTAGTTGTTTTAAATGGGCGGCTAGCTGCCAAAATTGCATTGCATTAATTCAGCGTTCAGTTAATAATACTTATTTCCTCAGCTGCAAATCGGAAGGCACTTAATACTACAATTCGCTCGAGTCGTTTACAAAAAATAATAAAAAATAAAAATAAAGCATTAAAATTGAAAAGAAAAACAGTTAAATAAAATGGAAAACAGTTAAACAGTTTTGAACGACAGTCGCTGGTTAATTTTAGGGCTAATGCCTGGCTCTCTCGTGGCTCGCAGCCGACTGGCGATAGGCCTGCTCCAAGGTAGCAATCCGGCTGTGATGCGGCCCAAACGGACGACGCGCTATGCGCAATGGCTTGAGACCGTCCACCTCGTCGACGCCGGCATTCTCGAAGCCCATGTCGGCCACATCGTTGCCGCTGCCGCCGTGCAGCTTTTGCTTGGCCTGCTTTTCGTGCCGCAAGTAGAGCACCACACAGCACATGGCCATAAAGATGACCGCCAGCGTAGCGCCGCTGACAATGCTCGCCTTCTCCAGCATGACGCGATTCCGTGTCGGCAAATAGGAGCCATCGATCTCCTTATACTCGCAACGCGGTCCCATAAAGCCCAACGCGCATTCGCAATTGTACAGAATCTCGTTGTGAATCTCCACGGTGAAGCAGGTGGCATCGTTCAGGCAGTACCAGGCGGCATATGTTGGCGGGCAGCTGAATATGGGAAATGTGATGTTCGGCCGCGCCGTCGTGCTCAGCGCAATGACATTGTCCGGCGCCGGTGGCGTTGTGGCCATCGCCTCCGGTCGAGGCTTGCTTATGGCACGCGAGGAGCAGGCGACGCACAGCGAGAGGCAGGCGCACAGCGCACAAATGGCAAGCAGCAGTTCGACTCTCATCTTGAGTGAATTTCTATAGGATTGACTTTAGCGGCATTGGCGTCGGCGCATGGCAGAGGCGGAGGCAGAGGCAGGCGAGCAGCTGGTGAGGATTACGTTGGGGAATGTGGCGTGTGTTGGCGTACGATTTGTGTGTCTTGTGTTTTGCTTTAGCTGCAAACAGAATAAAAGCAAAGTGCAATTAAAATCAACTCAAAATTCATAAAGTGTTTCGTAGTTAACTGTGCGAGTGTGTGTGTGGCTGTGTGTGTGTGTGTTGTGCCGAGCTGTGCTGTGCTGTGCGTGTGTGTTAATGCCTGCCTAGGCCAGCCTTGCCCTCATTCTCTCTGATTCTCACTGTCTCTCATTCTCTCGCTCTCTCTCTCTCTCTCGCTCTCTCTCCCTCTGTCTCTCTGTCTCTAAGCTCTTTGCGCTGACCCCGCCCCGCATTGGTTTTGGGTATCGACCTGAGTGTGGAAAATAACAAAGCAGCTTATTAATTAACAAAAATTTTACAAAATAAAACACAAATTACACAATTTATTTACCTGTCTGAACTGAGAGCTGTTGTTTACACAGTTTGCACTTGGTTTGGGTTTGTTTATCGTTTCATTTTGTTGTTGTTGTTTTTATTTATCTGTTTTTTTTTTTTTCGATTTTTAATTTTCATATGCACACTCTTAACTTTTAAAAGCAATAAATATTCGCGAAATCGTTGAACTTAACAGGTGGAATGTCAGGAGACGTAGTCCAGGCACATTTACTAGCCCCACTTAAGCTCTTATTTTAGTTACAGTAAATTCCCTCCCTTCAAGAATTTAGTGAAATTTCAATCGTGCGGAATATGGGTGGAATTTGAGTGAATTGATCAATTTTAGAGAAAACAATGAGTTAGGATAGCGGCAACTATCATCATAGTTACAATCAATTCACTATTTTGTCCAATTTCACAAAATAACACTCACCAAAGCGGAATATAAGTGGATTGATCAATTTAAATAAAATAAGCAGTTCGGTTAGCATCACAATTACTTTCCTTGACTGTTTATCCAAAAAAAATGGTTAACTATTATTTTGGATAAAGCACATCCATCGTTTTGATCAATTTCACAGAATAACATTCACCAAAGCGGAACATAGGTGAATTGGTAAATATTAAAGTAAATACTGAGGCTCGAACAGTGTTGGTTAACACAAGTGAGCAGAAAACAAGAACAATCATACGTCTGGAATCGAAATGCTATATAAAGCATATAGCATATATTTAATTCCGATTCTAATTTAATATCTCTTCTTATTTCTGACAGTTCTATAGTAATTTCTTGTGTTCTTAAACTTTTTTGAAGGTCGTATTTGAAGAAAATCTCTAAAATATTGACTATAATGCAAGTTGTTCACCTTAGCGTGGAAAAAGTACTTCCAAAAATGAAAAGCTCTCATAGCACTTAGCGAGCGAGCACTGTATTACGCCCATTAAAAATTATTGTTTTTCCACTTAATTAACTCTATGCCAGAAAACTACAAATATTCAATTTTCCACTGTCTATATTATAGATATATATGTATCTAGACATTACATAAATATATATATATATATTATTTGTATGTATTCAAGAACTTTTTATCGCTAAAACGAGCTGTATTTTAGCTCAGGTAGAGGCATATAATTGCGGGCTGTTTGCCAGGTTATTTTTATGGCTAGATGTTACCTGTTGTTAAAATGCTGTCCTTGAACTTAACGGCACCTTTGTGGGCAAAGTAACTGTTCTCGCGAAAAGTTAACGGCTCTGACTTTAACAGACAGACGCCAGGCAAATGTCGAACAAATAAACGAGTGCAATTTGTTTGACCTTTGGGCAATTGAAGACATGTGAATGGAATTTGAATAACTCGTAAATAGTTGCTGGCCCGTTAAATGGGCGAGTCAGCAATTACCTATAACTGGGCTTGCTTTTTAATTCGCAACATGGCCAAGACATGGGGAAAGGGGAGGAGGGAAGGGTTTGGGTTTCAAGCTCGAAGCTTGAAGCGCCTGCCTTGGACATACAGGCACACACAAAAGTATTGGCACAGCAAGCATTTGCTACTTTGCACCCATTTTGGGTCCGTTTTTGTTAACAAACATACAACCAAATTAATTTGTCAGTATAAGCCAGTTAATTTCCTACAAAACAATCCGTTAAAGTTGAAGAAAATGCTTGCTGTGCCAATACTTTTGTGTGTGTCTGTAAAAGGGCAGGGCCCATTATAAGCCTGAAACATATACTCAAAGGATTCATCAAGAAGAGTCACGCATGAAAACGAATGTGACTAAAATCAAGGACTCGAATGAGCGCATAATTATATAAATATGAATGTGACGAAAGGCCTGAGAGAGCCATTTGGCAAAAGGATAGAAGATAGAAGTGATTATACAGTGTGTCCATAAAGTGTTTTTACTAGCGAAAAAAAAAAATGAATTTTTTTTGGGTTTATTAGCAAATAAATGTAATTAAAAATGTGAATTTCTTTTCATTTCTAATTTATTTCGATTTCTTATTTTTCCTGGAACATTATCCAAGGATTTGATGTATATTCTAGACTCTTGAACCTGGCATGGACTGGGGCCAACTTTCAGGCTGGCCAATTACAAGCTTAGGTCAGCTACTAAAACGCAAATACGACACTTGTATTATCTCTAAGTCCTATTTATTATCGGTCAAAAAAAGTGTGCTTGAAAAAACCCGCACTCTTATTTTTAAAGAAAATCTAATCTAATCATAAAATAAAAGCAAAAATAGGCACAAACAATATCTTATCACAATTTAACTGTTATAGCATATAACTGTCACATTAACTAGCTGTCAAAGAGTCCAACTGAGAATGTCTCTAATAATAGGCATGTCATTAAAGGGTATCAAAGAAGTTCTGCTATGAAAGTAGCTCATTTCACGCTTTGCTAATTGAGTAATTAGCATGCATTGTCTTTTTTTTTTACATATAAAGTACATTCATATAATGGCAAGATTTTTTTTTTGCTTGTTTTTTTTTTCAGAATGGCGAAATAGACGCTGATTAGGCGATAAAGTTTGTGCGCGTGTGTGTGTGTGTGTGTAACCACAATGCAATCAACTGATAAAGCCACAACTGAGTCACATGAATGAAAGCGTTTGCATATGTATGTACATATGTTTGTATAAGTGTGCATATGTGTGTGTGTGTGTGTATGTAAGCCTGTAAGTGTGCATATGTGAGCCTATACATGTGCCTGTGTAAGTATGCACGTGTGTGTGCGTTAAAACTCTCATTATAGAAACTAATGCATGAAATGGGCAAAAAAAAAAAAAAAAAAAATACCATTGCCATAGAAAGAGGCCGTCTGAGAGTTGGCGTGGGTAGGCGAAATTCAATAGGCTCTATACATATGTATGTATATGCATTAATATATACACACAAAGGTAGGCGGCTTGTTGGGCAGGTAGTTGACTAGAGCTCGATGGCTAACAAAGGCGTTCAAGTAAAACTTTCCAGCAACAATAGCAAAAAAAAAAAAAAAAGAAAACAAAACAAAAATACCATGCGCCATTTGAAGGTTTTGTGTGATAAGAAATTTGAGAACAACGACAGCTGCAGTTGCTGCCGACGGCGGCACATGCAGCAGGTGTGAATGATGCATACATACACATGCATGCACACACACACACACAAATGCAGCTGCGCCCTAAACCAGTTAAACAAGAAGCTGCAGGCGGAAGTTGCCTTAAGAAGTTGCTTCCTTCTGCAGCAGCATCATGTCGTTGCATGCATCAACTTGAATGAACATGCACACACACACATACATAATATGCACACGTACATACACACACGCATACATCAGCTAGAACCGTTAAGAATACAATTTGTATGCATTTATGTGGGCAGCTAAAACAAGTTTAACAAGCAGCATGAAGCTCGGCATATCGAAAATTTTATACCCTTACACACAAGCAATGTCTGCTTTAGTGTATGACAAATTTTTAATAGCCTCGGCCAGGGTATAAAATAGACGTACATATGTATGTGCATGTGTTTGTGCATGTGCATTCTAATATAACAAAAATCTTGCGCTGCTTGTTGTTGTTGTTGTTGTCGGACAAGGGCAAATGAATTAATTAACTGGCAGTTGTATATAAATATGAATTAAATAAACAGCTTTTGCCACACAGCACTTATCACAGTGAATAGTATTTTAGCACCGAGGCGAAATATCAGCACAACTTTAAGATTATTTATTTGCTAATCAAAACACAAACAAGACACACACATACGCACAAACAGTTGTAAATAAGCCACATACACACACACACACGCACACGCACACAAATTGCTCCCCTGGAGCTGTATTTCCCCCAGGCAAACCTTTTACATCTCTGTTTCTATTTCTGTGCTACCCCAACAACACTTATTGCAGCAGCGAGAGCTCGGCAGCGCCCATGTCCATGTTTTATTTTTACAACAATCGAAATTGTATTTCATATACCGTTTTTTTTAGGTTTTTGCTATTTATTCACCTTTTTCTATGCGTTCGTTGATTGGATTTTCACTTTTGCGCAGCGCGTTCGCTCTCAGCGAATGTGTTTATTGATTTGCCAAAAATGTTGCCAAACACACACAGAATACTGTTGTTTTTTGGAACAGCAATTCACTTAAGTGTTAAACGTTTCGTTTCTCGTTAATTTTGTAATATTCGCAATAATTTAACAATTATTATTATTAATAAATGAATTAAATGGAACAAAACAAATGCGACTACGTGAGCCACATTCTTCTTCTTCAATAAATTGTGGTTCACTGCCAACTTCACGCGATTCAAGACTGCGTGTGTGTGTGAGTGTGTGTGTGTGCAGTAGTGCTGTAAAGCGGCTGACCAAGAAATACTAAGTACAGAAAATACCAACTTTAGCAGTGATGCGCTAGCTAATCGAATGCAGTGCTATCGATTAGTCGATAATCATTAAACATATTGTAAACAACGACGTGGTAGTTAAATTAGATTTTGGAAATAAATATGATCAAATTCGGTTTATTATTGTGTTTTCTATTAGCTTTAAGTAGTGTGAGTAATCCTGGCCAAACTTGTGTAACATCAACTGAATAATTTCCACTCTGCAGTGCCTGAAACGAACTCATGCCGAATTCACGGCAGCGCAATGCCGGGAACTGGGCTTCATCAAGACCCAGCTGCTGTGCTCCAACTGCGACAAACTAGATGATTTTGGCCTGGAAGCCATCAAGTAGGTAACTGATTAATACTTGTTTGAACAAATAACTATCCATGCCGTCGATAGACCGCATTGCAAACAGTGCTGCACCCAGGACCAGCAGCCGGCGGCGCAGCGAACCTACGCCAAGGCAATTCTGGAGGTGTGCACCTGCAAGTTCCGAGCATATCCGCAAATACAGGCCTTCATACAGAGCGGCAGACCAGCAAAGTTCCCCAATTTGCAAATTAAATATGTACGTGGCTTGGATCCGCTGGTCAAGCTGCTGGACGCCAGTGGCAAGGTGCAGGAAACGCTGTCGATAACCAAATGGAATACGGACACCGTTGAGGAGTTCTTCGAGACGCATCTGTCCAAGGAGGGTGGCGGCAAGAGCTCCTATAGCGTCGTCGAGGATGCCGACGACGAGGACGAGGATTACCTGCGCACCAATAGAGTATGAAATGGCAATAATGCCGCCAGCTAATAGTAAATGTAATAAAAGATAGCCTATCGTGTAGGAGTTCTTACGAAAACGTGTATTGAGCTTTTCTTTTTTTTTTTTTGTGAGAAAAGCTTCGGGCAACGTTTAAAAGCTGGCTGCGATTTGAACAGTTTGAAAGGCAGCGCCAGGCACGGTTTGGTTTGCAGAATAGTTATCATTTCTATTTCTGCCGCAATGCGTCCAAATTAACTGATTCATCATATAAATTAATATGTATTTTTGATTTGTTACCTTGTTATCAATTTGCGTGCCGTTGACTACACAACTGCGACAGCAATAACAATGTCTGGCTATTGTTATGGCGCGGGTGACCCATTCTTGTGCCAGTCAGTAGGTACTTTACCCGCGCCCATGCAAATAGACACATATTGGTATGACGTATTAATCCCCACCAAGATGTCAAATATTTGCTCAGACTGTTTAATAGTCATTCACCAAATTGGCAGCGCAAATAACGGAATGTTTTTTTTTTTTTTTTTTTTTAATGTTTAATTCCGTTGCGTGACAACTTTTGCTTATCTATTGCGTTCTCGTTCTCGCGCCCTGCTCAGGCTGTCGATATTTCATCTGACACGGCGCATGTGCACGCGGCTTTGCCGTTATTCATAATTTGCCAAATCTGAGGTTATGTCTGCATCTCTGGATGAGAGCTGCATACATACATATGTGTGCATGTATGTATGGATGTATGTATTTATAAGAATACTGATTGGCAAGTAAGATTTTTCTTATATTCATTGTGCAATATCGCCTGTTTACGTTATATTACAATGCATATTTTTATTTGTACTTATTTTTATTATATTTATTGCGGTTGTCGCTCTTGTTGTTGTTGTTGTTCATGGTGTTGTTTGTTGTTTTAATCATAGCCTGACCCACAGTGGGACAAGGTGGATAGAAAAGCTACATATACTAAAAAACTTATAAACACTGATTACAAATCAAAAAATACTCAATTTGACGACGCAAAATACATACAAACATTCTCATATGAATGCATGTGTGTATACATCCTTCTTAATATTGTGAACGATTGTCACGAGCCATTGTGAATCGCTTGGCTGCCTTGTGATCAATATTAATTACTTCATTATTTTCTATGCATATTGCATTATTTTTATGCACGGCAGCTGCCGGGCTCAGAGAGCTTATCATTGTGTGCTATAAAAGCGCATTCAACTGTTTGTCAAAACTATATATGTGTGTATGTGTGTGTGTGTGTGTGTATATATGTACGTATATTTAATTATAAAGTAACTTCGAGAGCCCCCTTAGTTAGCAGAATGGCCGCTGGCTGCGTCTTGGAATGTCGTTTAAGGCGCCCCCTAGATTGCTGAACAGTTGTTGTTTTATTTTGATTTTTGTTCTTTTTGCCTATTTCTCTCGTGTTTGCTGATAACATTTGCGCCTTTAGTGTTAAGAACCGGTCGCCAGAGCACCGAGTGCGGGAGCGGGCCAAGCGATAACAATAATGACGCTATAGTCGAAGCGTCATGGCTTCCATTAGCGCGGCAATTAGATTTGATTTTGGCGCTTCATTAAGAAATAACACGAGGAAGCACTAAACAGCGAGTGGCTGTGAAAGAGAGAGAGAGAGAGAGAGAGAGAGAGAGAGAGAGAGAGGTTTTGCCAATCTGTCTATTCCACTCTCTTCCTCTTTCCCATCACCTACTCTCTTTTGTGCGACTTGCCCTTTTACCGTTAACAGTATCAGCAAAGTCAACACGAGCAGTGTTATAAAAATCAAAAGCTTGATTTGTTAATTGCGATTTGCGCTTTAAGCATTAGCCAGTGAAGGGTATTCAACTTTTGTTAGCAGCTATGCAACGCATTCATCAATTATCGCATTGTAGAGTATGTAATTTCGATTTATGGTACGTAAGGTTCATATAATTTGAAAAGTTGACGAATTTCATGTTTCTTGATGTACGTAGTACATTATAAAGCATATTGACACCTTTTGGTGTCTTGGCTTGCAAGGGTATTCAAATGTCGACGCTTGGAATTATATTATAATTTCATGTTTTATTTATAAGCTAAGCTTGTCTCAACATTTATGACTTGTGCACAAAACACATGCTGAAATACATATGCATGCCTTTGTGTGTGTGTGTGTGTGCATGTGCGACACACATATGTATGCATGTGCGCGCGCTCTCTCTCTCTCTCTCTCGTACCGAAAGGTAAAAGGTAATAGTAAAATAGGACCAAGTGTGGCCACATTGAACTTTGGCTATTAAATTTAGCGCGGGCCAGAAACTGCGTCGCGTTTATTTACAAAGCAGCACACAAAACACCAACAACAACAACAACAACAGCAACAACAACAGCTGCAACAACAACAACAAAAACAACAGCAGTTGCAGCTAATTGTAATCTGCAGCCAATGTGTGCGTTTGTATTTTGTGCAAATAAGAAAAGAAAAATGTGTTTGTTTTGTTTTTATAAGTTAATTCTCATGGGTACATCAATTATACGTGCAATTATTTGCATATTTCATAATTTCAAATAATTCGCGGCGACGCGCACGTAGAATGGCTGTGGTGAGTATACAAGTTTAGCATTCAGTTCAATTCAACATGTGGTGAGAAATGGATTTAAAATTAAATTTAAGATTTATTTGAAACAAATAACTGTGTTATTACATTGAATATACTCTTATGCCTGTTGTTTGGATTTTGTTTTCGTAATTTAAAAACTTGCGTAATCATATATATTACATACACAATTACTTAGCTGTATTGTAATAGTATTTTATGTATAATCTACATATGCGCACATTATTTCGGTTCAATTAAATAATTGAATACAAAACAAAAACAAACACAATACAGCAAACAAATATAACAACAAAAAGGTTTTGCTGCTGTTTTTCCTGTTCTTGTTTTGCCATTTTTTCAATTCATTTGTTTTCCTTAATTCAATGCGCCTGCTTTCTTAACAACGTTCACAAGTATTATTATTATTAATTAAAAGTATTTTTTTTTTTGTTTTTGTTTTTCTTCGCATATTTTAGGGCTTTAAATTGTTTACTTATGTAGTTTATAACTAGAGTTTTACATTGACATTAAAAAAAAAAGACAACGGAAAATAATGTATAAATTTATTCTGCAAAATTCTCGTTACCATATAATTAACAATATTATAAGTTCTGGTACTCAATTAATAAAACTTTTGCACTTTTTAAGCCTGTGTTGCATGCGCTTTCATTTTGTTGACGTTTCATTAAAAATTTGTATTCGCTTTAGAAATTTCGACTCTGCTTTATATATATATATATATTATTCTTGGATTGGAATTGAAATAAAATATTGTATTTAAAATTTTGTTACGAAAAATTTGATGCGTTTAGTTACATTGTGTGTGTGGTTTAATATATTATCATTAAAGAGTTCGTTAAGAATTTATGTTACATTTTTCATTGCCTCCTAACTATGTATGTGTATATTTAGCTTTAAGGTATTGTAAAAAATTTTGAGTAGTTCGTTATTTTTTGATTTATTTGTTTTCTGTTTTGTTGTTTATTCATTTTAGTTTTCGTTAAGTTTGTCGTCTGTGGAGCGCGTTTTTCGTGTTGCCGATTGCTCAGGAAATCGTCTCGAAATCGGAGCTATAACAACCTGATCGCCTCGTGTTAGCTGGCCAAATGTGTATAGTAAGTATATAAACTATAGATTTAGCTATATATTTGTGATACTGCATCTTATTGAGGGTTGTAGCTCATAATTTATCGTTATATCATTGATTTTTCTTTCTTTTCTGGCAATTATGGTATTCGAAAAGGTTTAGAAATAGTTTGAATTTAACATAGATCAAGGTATTTTACAGCACTGGAAGGCTCGGTATCGGTATCGGTAACGGTATCGGGCTATCGATAACTGTAACGGTTCGCGGTCTTAAATACTAGTAATTGCTTCGACGGCACGTAAGGGTAATTTTGGATATATCCGTTAGCTATGTGTGGGCTCTGATAGCATTATTATCTGTTATAAATAGTTGGTAAATTGTAGCTTTATTTTACAGGAATTTCTTTTGTGTTATCGTGGTTTTTGTTTTTTGCTTTATAGAACGTGTACAATAATTTGGTCGTAGGTCTAAGACACTTTTTGGTTTTAATCCTTTTCCATTATATAAATAAATACATATACATGTGCATGTATATATTGTTGTTATATACAGAAAGTAGCATTACAATTTTTATATATATATATATTGTATACATATATATATATATTTATATTTAGTTAGTAGTAGTAGGTATTTTCGTGACTTATGTGCGTAGTTAAGTAAAATCTGAGACTCGCTGTAAAATATATAACATATGTTAACGGGTTCTGCTTGGAGGGGTGCCGGGAGGGAGCGCATTGGAGGGTAGATATGGTATTATAATTATTTATATTATTATTAATTTTATTTTCTTTTTTTGTGGTTTGACTCTCAAGTAGACTTAACGGCTAAGTTTTACAAGCTAGCTAGACAAAGCACAACGAATGACAGGGATTGGGGAGCTGGGGATGAGGATGAGCAGGACAACGATTGCAGGGACGAGAGTACAAGGACTAGTATGGGCATAACAAAGCTTACATCTACGATGTGTGTGTGTGTTTGTGTCTGTTGGTGTGTGTGTGTGTATCGTCATCGATAGCTTGGCTTGACTTAGAAGAAAAACTTGCGTACCTCCTCATCCAAGTCGGCGGAGTCGACAAGATCATCTATGACACCCGGCACAAGTAGCTCAACCACCTCCAAGTCCTTCTTGTCCTTGTCGCTAGCTGCTGCTGCTGCTGCTGCGGCTGCTGCCGCCGCCTGCTGCTGGACATCCGGGCAACTGCCGGCGGAACTGGAGGACGGCAGTGGCATGGCAATGCCGGCATCCAGCAGCGCCTCGTAGGTGTCCTCGAGCAGCACGCCGCTCTCGATGGCCGCAACAGCCTCCTCATAGTATCAGTTGAGGTCGCGTCGAAAGCTATCCTCGATGCTCGGATCGGCAATCATGATCGGGCTCTGATCCGACAGCATCTGCAGTCCCGCCACATCCATTTGCCCCAAGTCCAGATCGAGCGTATCGAAAATCTCCCGATTAAAGTCCGTATTCGACGAATAATCGCTAAATATAATAGCGGGTATATTGGCTGTGGTGGGCGTGTGGTTATGCGACTGATGGTGCTGCTGTTGGTGGTGCTGCTGCTGCTGCTGCTGTTGTTGGTGGTGTTGAGGCTGATGATGATGGTGCGTTTGAGGCTGATGATGATTCATGATCATATTGGAGTTGCAGGCATTGGTCACGGGCGAGCTGCTCGACAGCGGCGAGTTCGAGTGGTGCGGCGAGTGCATCGGTGAGTGGTGCGGCGAGTGGTGCAGCGATAGCGACAACTGCTGTTGCTGCTGCTGCTGCTGGTGCTGCTGTGGCGATGCCTGCGCCGACATGGGTATGGGCAGCGGCGAGCTGGGGCAGCCTAGCGGCGAGGGCACCGGCGAGGCGACCAGCGTCTCAGCCACGCCCCCGCCATTGCTGCTATTATTGTTGTGGTGCTGCTGATGTTGACTCTCCGGCCCGTTCAGGCTGGGTCCGCCATTGTGCGTTGCTGCCGTGCCCCCACCATTGCTGTTGTTGTTGAGCAGTTGTTGCCGCTGTTGTTGCTGTTGCTGCTGTTGTTGCTGCTGTTGTTGGTTGTTGATGCGTCTAAGGTTGTTGTTGTTGGCGCTGGCCTCGGGACTGGCGCTCAGCTCGCTAAAGTCCAAGAGCTTGTTTTGTGCTTGTTCCTGATTATGATAGGGCCCATTACTGCCGTTGGGCGCCGCCATATCATCAAAGTCGAGCGCGACAAAGTTGTTGGCAAAACTCTGCTGCTCCGGCGACGAGTTGCTGTCGCCCAGCGAAAAGTTCTCAAAGTGATTGTGAAACGAGGGATTCAGACTGTTGTAGGCGGCGTCAAAGGCGCCCGATAGTTGCTGCTGCTGCTGCGGCGTTTGCTGCTGTTGCTGCTGGATGCGGATGGGACTGGCCGGTGCGCTGGTGTGCAGTTCGCTGCCGGAGACGCTGCTGAGCAGGCCGGGCGAGGAGCGCGGACTAGACGGATTGGCTGGCTGGCGATAATCGGTCAGATTGCCGGACACAATTGACGCGGAGCTGCTGCCATTGTTGGCGCCCAACGTTGGCAGCGGACTGAACGATAGGTGCGGCGAGCTGCTCGGCGGCTGGACTGGCGTGCTGCCGGCGCCGGCGGACGTTGGCGAGTGCTGTTGCTGATGATATGGCGATGGCGGACCACCGCCGCCGCCCGGACTAAACGGACTGGGCGACTGATCCCGGTCGCGTCGTTGATTGTGCGGCGACATGACCGGCGACAGCGTCTGTTGCAGCAACTGTTGCTGCTGCTGCTGTTGCTGCTGTGACTGTTGCTGCTGCTGCTGTTGGGGTGTTGCATAGTGCTGCAGTGCGGTGAGATTGGGCAGGGAGCCGGTATTGGCATAGCTGGCCTGATCCTGCAGCGGCCTGAAGAAAGAGTTCACGAATTTGGCATTGTTGTATGGCGTTGGTTGTTGTTGCTGCTGCTGCGACGGATGCAGCTGCTGTTGCTGTTGCTGCTGCTGTTGTAGCTGCTGCTGCTGCTGCTGCTGTTGTTGTGCTTGTGGCTGTTGCTGTTGGTGTATGTGCAGCTGCTGCTGCATGTTGTGCTGATGCTGTTGCAGCTGCTGCAGCTGCAGCTGATGCGGCAGCAGCGGCGACTTTCTCCTTTGCGCCTGCGGACTAAAGCTGCGTCCAATCTGATGCGGCGAGTGAGATCGTTGACTGTGCGGCGACTGTTGCTGCTGCTGCTGTTGCTGCTGCTGTTGCAGTTGTGGATAGTTGGCGTGCAGCGAGTTCATGTCTGTGGCAAAGCCACCTTCCGCGGCCACCGCGCTCTGGTGCAGCGCCGAGTCCGAGTTGGAACGGCGCCAATTTGTGTCCATTGGCGGACTCAAGTACAGGTTCTGTTGTGTGCCATTGTTATTGTTGTTGTTGTTGTTGTTGTTGTTATTGCTGCTGGTGCCACTTGTGCTGCTGCTGTTGGGCAGGCCCATCGCATTGATCAGACCGCCGGCGCCCGTTGAGCCGCTGCCGTAGGGCGAACGATCCTGTTTGCGCTCCGATTGCCGTCGCAAGGGTCCGCCGCCCATGCTGCGTCCGCGCGACTCACGATACGCTGTAGGTGAACCACCTCCGCCCCCGCCTCCACCACCGCCCAGTCCGTCCGGCGAGGCGCCCCCGCTGGCACCGCTGCCATTGCCGCTGCCGCCACCCGTGCCATTGCCCGCGCCCACGCCCACGCCCACGCCCGCACCCGCAGCCGCAGCTGGCGCGGCAATATCCAATATTTTTTGATTCGCCTGCGTCTCGTCCATTTTGGTGGCATACACCTCCTTCATGATGCGCTCGAACTCGGCTGTGCCCTCCGCCTGCTTCTGCTTCTGCAGCGCAATCTTCTCGCTGAACTTGCGCGGATTGGCCATGGCTGCAGTCCTCTGTGTGCGTATCCTAATCAGTCTGCGAATATAGTTAGTTATTTTACAAAACACAAAACACATATAGATTGCCCTTCCGGCTTTGCTCGGCTGCTAAAAGGCATGAGATTTCAATTCCTGCCGCGTTCGTTCTGTTTTGCTCTGTGCTACGCCAAATTATCGGACGCATCGATTCAAGTTTCGCTCTCTCTCTCTTCCACATAAACTACCTTGAAAGGGAGGCAGATTTATGCGAACTCAAGTCACAACTTCTATACCCTTTCTAAATTTTTTAGGTTTTTATGCATAAATATGTATATTCGTCTATTTAAATGACGCCCTTCTATGCGATTCTCAAGCATTCAAGTAAGATCCAGAGTATTATCAAGTTGTAATAACAAGCTTTTAATAGAAAAAAAATATATATATATATATAAAGTATAAAATCTAGATAGGCCAAGAAACACAAGAGTTACTACATTTCACTACACAAGAAATGATAATACTTTTTTCTCCCAATCATACTTTTTACATTCCTTATCGAATTGCTTGAATTGAGTAATTCTAAGGGAAGGTTCTAGTTTTCGACTTGGACTTGAATTTATAACATTAATCTTAAATATAAAATGGACTCTCAGGCGTCTCTTAAGACTTGAAAATTTACCAATTTATCCATATAGTCTTCTAGTTTTTTATAGGTACAGTGACTTCTTGCATAAACATGTGTTAATTTAATCAACTTTTAGAAATTTTTAATTCTTTTTTATTTCTGGAAACTGAAAATCCTTAAAATCCTTTTCCATGTTCCTCCAATCAAAATAGTTATACAGAAAGTTTAGCTATGTTGCAAAGCTAATGAGAAAATAGGCATAGCTTTGTCATTTAAGAGTATTGCTAATGCTTTTGTCTGCTCTTGGCTTTATCAATGTTGTCAGCTGATAAGGCAGATAGTTGGCCTAACAAATCAGACATAGCCGTAGCGGCAACCTCGTACTCCACCTATCTGTCTCCCTCTCTTTCGCTGTGTGTCGCCCTACAATCTCCCTTGCTCACTCTGGCCCATTTGCAGTGTCTGCTCTCCGTTTGGCTTCAGTATTTCTCCGCGCTGCGATTTATTGCATAACGCGTGCGATATATGTTAAAAAAAAAGGGCGGGAAAAAAAGCCCAGTCGCGGCTAAGTAAACAATTGGTTTATGGTTCTTTGGAACCGTCTCAGAAAAAATAAATATATATATATATGTTTATATATATATAGGGGTGGCAGGCGGGTCGGGGCGGGGCTACGACAACCTGCAGCTGCAATACGCAAATGGAAATTGAAATCGTTGCGTAGCAAACGAAATAATTTTGCATTAATTGATTCGTTCGGTTCGGCGCAGTTGGCAAAGTTTTCGAGGGCCCCGAAACACGTGAAGGGCATTCGGCTAGCCTATAACCTTTTGATATCTAGTTTCGGTCTACCAATACGATCGATTGGCCACAAAAGAAACCCGTTTCGCAGCCTCAGTTAAATTTGGCTGCCTTTTTTTTTTGCTTTTGTTACTTTTGGCTCAACTTGATGAGCTGGTTAAGAGGTTGACAAAAGATTTACCAAAAAGAGTTGACAAGTTTGTGGCACACACAAACACACACACACACACGCACACAATCTGACTTTATCTGGGTGATAGAGCAATCGAGGCATGAAGTCATGCGTGGTCGGATGAATTCTTATCTGCGGATTGGACATAGATCTTGAATCGTGCTCGTGACTAACTACAAACTTAACCAGCTGATTAATCAATTATATAGGTTAAATAGAGGGCGGCTTTAGTATAGAGTATGCAATTAAAAATATTCTCAAATAATGCTGATTCACTGCTTGACTAAATCGGCGAGCTGAGCACGAAGTTAGGGGTTCGAACCTCCTTGCAAATTTAGATGACCTGATAAACAACTGAAGTTGGATTGCGTAACAAAAACAACATCAAAACCCCTTCCATTTGACACATTATTCATTGGAGCCGGGCAATGCCGGGTAATTTATTCTAGTAAATAATATTTTAAGACCTTTCTACATGTTACTATCACTGAAAAGTAGAATTGAGCATTGGGAAATATGTTTGAACGGTGTAGGAAATTGATTTAAGATAATATTTAAGAATTTGTTCTTGATTTGATCGGAACCAAGTCGAAAAAACAAATTCGCAGGGATTGCACAAGTCCAATATACTCCCTTTCCCACTGTCAATAGGGTATAAAAATGTTGTTATTGTTGCTTTTTGTTTACGTTCCAAAAACGCTAAAAGAAGTTTCTAGTACTTTATCCAGTACATAAGTTCTTAATTTGTGCCAAAAAATTCTTATTTAAAGTAGATATTGGGCTTACGAAAACCCTATTTGAGAAACCGTTTGGGTTAATAGATTTAAAAAGTCGTAAGCGCACTTAAAGTAATCCAGCTTGCACTTAAGACATCCCAAAATGATCTCGAATCAAGTATTTTATCATTTAAAAAACCTACTTGAACCAATTACCTTTGTACTTGAAACAAGTACGAACAAAATGGGCCAGATTGAGTAGAAACTACTTGATTAATTCTCCGAGTGTACGCATTTATATATATATGCCTACTATATGCATTTGGACTTTAAGTTAATCAACTTTCGAGCCAGTTGTTTTTCCCAACCTATTTTTTGTTAGTTCTGCCAAGTTTCATGAAAGTAATTTCCCCTTCTTAAAACGTCCCATAAATCATTAATGAGCAACCGTAGAGTTTCCTTACGCTTGGATGGCATTTATGGATTGGGTTTTTTTTTTTTTTTTTGTCTTGCTTCCCAATCGACTTCTGGAGCTGAACAAAAGTCAATTTCCCGCTGCGATCGGCGGCGGCAAATTCCAGCTAATTGTCAACAGGTCGGATGACTAACCAAGTCGGAAGTCTGTGTCTCTGAGCCAGAACCAATTATGGCTTAAAGCGATGCGCCGAAATGGCTTTAACTGATTTGCGATTCAGCTCATATGCAGTCGACACTCCTCCCCTTCTCACTCTGCTGTTACCAACTGCAGAGTGAGGGCAGGGGGGGCGGGGCGGTTGAAACACGCCCAGGCGTGGCCGACTAAAAAAACATTCCCACGAATCGATAATGACATTTAATAATGATTTAATAACCAAAACGATAAAAATTTACTTAGGCGCGCACATGGCCCATGGGTCGATAGCACAGGGGGGTAGGGGGGAGAGACAAAGCAGGAAGAGCTACCCCCGGCTGTCGTCGCTTTTGGGCCCTAGCCCTTGGCGGGTTGTGTTTTTGGTGCGCTTATCAGCTGCTTTATCGGCGCGCGCGCCATGGAATTTTTGAATAATTTTGCACTGTTTGTTTACGGCTCAAGGGCGAGGGAGGGGGTGGCAACGACAAAGAGATAGAGAGAGAAAGAGAGGGGGGGGGCACATGTCCGAAAGTTGCCACACTGTTGCAAATGAAGCGGCCGGCGCTGGCAAAACAGAACGAACGCGCTGCAACGACGGGGGAGGCGGTGTAGATGACTAGTTAGGTAGAAGGGCGGGGGAGGGGCGGGGAGCGGTTGTGTAGACAAGAGTGCTTCTTCTTCTTGTTTTTTTTTTTTTTTTACTTACTTGTCAAGCGCGCGCTATGACAACAAAAAATCAGTTGTTCTCGCTCGCGCTCAAGCGAGCTGCTCGCACGCTCTTCCTCGCACTTCTTCTTCCTCCTCTTTTATATTTGGCGCTCTCTCGCGCTCTCGCTCTCTTTGCCAACTAACTGGCAACTCCTCTAATTGGCCGGACTGGCTGTGCAAAAACAAAAGTTGAATAATTTCGCGTTGTCGTTGGGTTTTGTTGTTACTTAATTAAAACAAGTATGTTTTAGATGTGCATTAAATTATGTTGGCTCTGTTATGGCTAAATATATATATATATATACTATATGCACGTGCATATATACATCTATTTTTTGGCGCTTTTTTTTCTTTCTTGTTGTTGCTTTACGACTTGTTAGCGCCCAGCTGCTGTCAAGCTTTTCGTTTTGTTGTTTTGTTTGTTCTGAGCTCGCTCGTATGTGGCTTTTCTTGTTGTTGTTGTTGTTGTTTTTGGTTCTTTTTTACTGCGTCTTCTTCTTTACCGCGTACGCGCTAAAAACTTGTCAGCCGTTTTTTTTTTATTTATTTTTTATTTTGTTGTATGGCGACTGATAAAACCAGATTTTATTTTGCGTTCTGCTTGTTTCTTTTTTAATACGAAAATTGATTTCTAATTTCAGTTTTGAGCGCTGCTGCTGTTGTTGTTGTTGTTCGCGCCAGTTGGGAATTTGTTAATGGCCGCGCGCAAAAGATTTTTGTGCTGCTGCTGCTGCTTCTTCTTCTATAAGTTATTGTTGTTGTTTGCTCACTTACACACACGCACGCGCACACACACACACACACACACACATGCAAACACGCGCGCGCTTTGCTCGCGTTTATTGTTTTAACGCACAACTACGACGTTTTTTTTTTTTTTTTTTTTGCGCTCAGCTGCTTGGGCACAATTTTGTTGTTGCTTTTTTCTTTTTGTTTTTCGTTACCAACGAAATGAAAAACTTTTGTTGCGCCTTTGACCTCTTTTCACACGGACGTTGACTGCGGCAGTGGCAGAGGCAGCAACGACACTTTAAATAGCTGTGTATGTGTATTTGTATGTTGTTTTGGTTGCGTTTTCCAATTGGGATACACGAGCATTTCCGATTGGTATAGCGGGATTACAGCACGCGGCTGGTTTGTTGGGGCTGGTTGCGGCGGCCCGTGACCGAAGCCGATATTTGACCGTTATTGTATTGCATTTCCTTGTTGATATACATATGTAATATTGATGTTATGTACGTACATATGTATGTAAATTTAGCTAATGCTTCGATTTGGCCAAATTAAACAGGCACACACACGCACACATGCACACGTACACGTATATGCACACACACGCACGCACACAAAGGCAGGCGCTTTCATTTGTATTATGTACACACACGTATTATGTATGTTATTTTCGTTGCACCGCACTCGCACAAACTTATCATAACGATTCGACTGCTGCTGCTGCTGTCGTTTCTTCTTCTTCGTTCATCTTCGTCGTCGCGTTTTTTTTTTTTTTTTTTTATATTAATTTTATTTTTGTAGTGTCGTTATTATTGGGCACTTTGCGTTTAACTGGCACGTTTTCAATTGTTGTTAACGCGCCATTCAACTGCGCATAGTTATCGCTGCGTTTTTCAACAAAATTTATCGCATTTGTTTTGTTATTTTCACTTTTTTCTTATTAGATTTCTGGTTTAGCAGCAGTGACTAAGAATACACTAAAATTGGTCAAGCGCGTGGAACGGAACTGGTTTGCCACGGAGCTGACTCGGCAGTTTATCAAATGTTCCCGCTAGATGGCGTCTCCGAAATGCGTCACAGCGCTCAACAGTGGCGCAACTGTGCGGCGTGCGTTCAACAGTTGAATTATTTAATAAATGGCTTCGCGTTGATTTTTGCGAGCCAAATGTGTTTATTATAAATAAAAGAAAGACCAAAATGGATGATGAAAATGTATCACGAACAAAATAGGTAAGTGCAGCTTTCAGCTATATTTTTGCATGCATAAATCTGAAGCGCATCTCTATTTAAGCTTAGATTGAATGGCACGCATCAACACACACTCACACATATGCACACAATTTGCATGTGTGTGTGTGTGTGTGTGTGTGCATGTGCTCGTACGCCTGTTTCCTTTTCCGTTAACATTTTGTGTCTGGTTTCCGGCATTTTTGTGCGCCGTTTAAAATTGTTTCCTTAGATACAAATCTCTGGCAGCAACAAATTTCGTTTTACAGACATTTGAATGCCAATTGCAAGCAAATTGCCGCCTGCGGCACCAACATTTAAGTTCTGCGCCCCTTGCCCCTTGCCCCTTGCCCCTTGCCCCCCGCCCCTTGGCCCCGGAAACGAGCCAACAACAACAATTTCTCTAGTTTTGAGTTTTCGAGAGCGAGTCAAAGAAATTGCCGGCGAGCAAATTGAAAATGTGACCACGTTTGCCAGATGGCCTGTCTATTTAACTAGGCGAGCATGGACCATGCTCAGAAATAATATTTCTACGTGGCCAGCTTTGAATTAATTAAATGAAACGCATAAATTGCTTGGCGCAAGTTAAGAAAGCAGAAAACCAAACTAAAAGTAAACAAAGTTGAAGTTAAAGACGGCTTCAAGAAATGCGCTATTAAAAGTCCGTACAAACTATACATATATAACATATATTTATCAGTTTGCCTAGTTTGGCAACTTGTATTAATTAAGTTAATCGTTGTGCTGGTTATTATTTATTTATTTTTTTTATGAAAATCGCATAGAAAGGCGATGTTGAAAGATGGAGTTAGTAAGAGAGTGTGAGAGCGAGATATAGAATGTGGGTATACAAGCGAGAGCATAAAGAGAGAGAGGCGAGAGAGAGAGAGAGAGAGAGAGAAAGAGAAAGAGGGAGAGAGAGAGAGAGAGAGAGTGAGGAAGAACAAATGAGAGGGAGAGCAAGACAGAGAGTAAAAGGTAGATATAGAGAAACAGAGAGCAAAGAAAAGAGGAAGTGGGAGAACAAAAGAGAATAAGAGTTAGAGAGTAAGAGTGAGAGAATAAGAGAGAGAGTAAGAGTGAGAGGGAGATAGAGATAGAGTGAGAGCACACTTATTCGTATATAAACACTTTAAGTATACAAAAAAATAAATAAAAAGATATAATTTAGTTTTTTGTTCTCAGCTTTTGTTTATAGTAAAATACTCAATATATTTCCTATTTTTTTTTTTTTTCTATTTCTGAATTTTCGTTATTCATGCTAAAATATCTTATTTTAGGTGCAGAAAAGTGCCAGCTTTGAGGCACGCTTACTTGACATTCGATGGATTTATTAAACATTCAATATTGCAATTCTCGAGCCAGAACACTTTTTAGCAAACACATTTTGTGACTACCCCAAAGACAGCTTCCACAATTCTGCCTAGTGTTATTTGTTTGGTTGTTCCATTAAATTAGTGGAACATTTCACATTTAACGCATATTAATTTCCAACTAACTTATCGCGCGAAGCTCTTCCAGCTGCACATCTCATTTGGCGCGTTTTTACTTGTTTTTGCCCCGGCGGCACATTCAGTTGTTATCAGCGCCGCTTGTTATCATTTGATATCATCGCCGATGCGCGGAATGGGGCTGGGAGTGGAGTTGGGGAGGGGGGGGGGGGGGGGGTGGGGGTGAAGGCGTGGCACTCCCACAAGCAATTGATATTGGGCCGCGATTGCCTCTTGCATTGATTTCTTGAATTTCAATCAAAGTTCAACATGACATGGATTTTTTTTCCGCTCTGATTGTATATTCTTTTTTTTTTTTTTTTTTATTACTAATATTCCTTTTATTTCGTTTTGGTTATGGGAAATGTTGTTGTTTTTTTTTATTTCTGCTGCCATTCAACGTTGCGTTCAGTCGAGCGTCGGCATTTTGGGCACTAACAATTAAAAGTAACGGCAGTTGACGCTACATTTAACGGTATTTGCATTCATATATACGAATTTGAGTGTGCCTGTGTGTGTGTGTGTGTGTGTGATGAACTCTTAATAAAGAGATAGCCAGCTGTAAAATTAAATTTTATGTTGCAAAAAAAAAAGGAAACAACAAGAAAAAATGGCACACACACCTGTCCTTAAGCTTTCAGTTCATTAATAGCAGGATTGCATGCGGCAACAACTATAAAAACAACTGCAAAAGGCACTTTACAAGAGCGAAGCACAAACAGTGCAAGGCTCGAGGCAGCTTGACTGGGTGATACCCTGTACTTAGTTTTGTACATTCGTATTTAGGCAAATAGCGAAACAACAATTACTCAAACAGTCTTATTTGCTTGCTCTATCATTTACAAGCTGAAAAAAAGAACAGCTTACTTGAGCTCATGAAAATCGCATAGAAAGGCGTTGTTGAAGGGGGAAATATAAGTAGGTTCGGTGAGAATGCTATGGAGCAGTTTGTCGGGAACATGCAAAGGGACCTAAAGAGAGATATAGAAGCAATTAGAAAGGAGGAAATGCGAGAAAGAGAGTGAGAGAGAGGCAGAGACCAAGAGGGGGACACAGACACATAAACAGAAAGAGGCAGAGAAACGGCAGAGTAAAAGACTGAAAGAGAAGCAAGAAGAGAAGAAAAGGAAGAGAGAGATTAAAAGCGAGAGAGAGAGTGAAGCAGAGACAGATATAGAGACACAACTAATAGAGAAAGAGAGAGAGTCCGAGAAAAAGAGAGACAGAGCGACAAAGGGAGAGATGTAAGGAAAATCGCTGTTAAATAGACAGAGGGACAGAGAGAGAACGAGGGGGAGAGAGAGAGAAGAATAGAGAAAGAGAGAGGTAAGCAAAGTGTGAGTAAAACATCATAAGCAAACAGTGATAACTAAGAGTTTTATCGAAATCATGCAAGTACCTGATTTCATGAAAATCGCATAGAAGGGCGTTTAGTTGATTTGCAGCACAGCAATGCAAACACAAACCTTTTAACCCCTTTCAGTGGACATAGGGTAGACCAAAATAAAATCGATTTAAAAATCTAAAAACCTAAAGGTTTTCATTAAGGCTTCGATTGGGTTTGTTGTCGAGCTGCAATTGAATGTTGCAGGTGGAATTGAATTGAATACAGCCTCAAGAACTCATTTGCATTCCCAATCAAAATAGTGTTGAGCGGAATCGTTGCGCTTTTGTCTTTTGGCCCTCGAAAATCTGCTCTTGCTCTTATTCGGGCTTTCAGCTCGTTATCGTCTTGGCAACAGCAACAACGACAACAACGACAACAACGACAATTTCTTGTTGCTTGTTTGTTTGCCAGGCCGCAGAGACAGCAAACAGCAGAAGCAGACAGACAATTGGTTTGGGGGAGTCAGTAGGGTAGACGGGGTAGATAGGGCGCTGGAACTGTTTCCGTCTGCATTTGTTGTCAACGACAGGCGAGCACTTTAGTTGTGCACATTAAACGTAGCTGCCGTGCATGCCACGCCCTCGGCCCCGCCCCAACCTAGCCCACTTTTGCTATTCGTGTGTGTGTGTATTTTTTTTTTCTTATGAAATTTTCGAGTGAATTGCTCGTTTATTCATTAAATTACAAAGGAGCAAGCGAGCGAACAATGCAATTTGCCATAGCTAGAGCACTGGCACACCCGCCCGCCTCCATTTGCCCTGGCGCCCCGCCCACTTCAGTGCCCCACCAGCCCATCGACATTTGGCAGTAGCAATTGCAAATGCAATTGAAGTTTTACTCTTGCGCTGCTCTTAAGCCGCTTAATTGCTGCCAAATACTCCAACCCTCCAAACAGCTGAATGCCTCATAAATCTTCAGAAAGTGCTCCTCCATTGTGGCTGCAAAATATCGCTCCTACGCAGAGCTGATGAAACGAGGCGTTAATAAGCCCCTATACAAGTGCCGAGCACAAATATGCTGCAACAAGATGCTTTGTTCAGCGCAAAGTATGCTGTTGTCATGACTGCAAATATGCAAATTTTGATCTGTATCAAGGCTAAAAGAGCCTTCGATAAATAAGTTTTACTTATATATGCTCAGTACCCAGTCGAACGGGAAGTATGCATTAACTCTAGTACAACTCCAGCTAATGGCAAATTATTTGAAGATTGAGCTCTGGCATGCTTTGCGTAGAATTATCTTTTTTTTGCGTGTATCGATAATTATCGATAGCTGACCTTGATTTTGGCTTTTCGATTATAACTGCTTGAGATAGATTCTTATCCTTGCTTACCCAATCCACGCGTTATCGATAAATGTCGAGAATTGACTTATATTTCAAACACATCTCTTGATGACTAAAGTAGCTAGAGAAAACAAAATTGGTATGTAAGTTCTTATCGATAATTATCGATAGCTTACCTAATTTGATATGTGCATCTATATGTTCACGGTACTCGCTATTGCAAGAAGTATGACTAATATGCTCTTATCGATAATTATCGATAACTTATCTCAATTATCGAAATCGCTTGTTTTCTTATTTTGCCCATAAAAACACATAATTTGCCTAAGGTGAAAGCATATACAGATCGAAAATATTTAAGTTTAAAGATACTTTCCTTGTAAATTACGATAAAATTTCCAAAGCTGCGCAATCAAGTTCAAGTCTTTCCTTATACAAAAATAGAGACATTCCTTACTTCTGGCAATTCAAAATAAAAGTGAAGCGACGTGTCAAGACAATAATACACGCTGAAAGGGGCAAAGGCAGCGGACAACGCCAAGCTTCTCATTGTGTGGATTGTTTGCTAATGCGCCAGCCAATTGAATAGAGCCCATCAGCAGCTCGCCCAGCTGAATAGACTTTATTTATTGTATTAAGAAACGGAAAAAACTCTACTTACTTTGCTGCTGCTTTTCCAGCTGGACATTATCATGACGAATACCTTGTGGACGCCGCGCTCTGTGCTGCTGCTCGCAGCTCTACTCTTTGCCACAGCGAATGCCGCGGCTGCCGCTTCGAGTGCCTCATTAGCAGCCAGTAGGGAGTCCGGGCTGCCGGCTCAAAGTGTGCTGGCCCTGGTGCCGGCAGCAGGTAAGCATCTGCTACTTTTTTTCTTATGCGCGCGCGTTGCAATTAAGCTTGTTTATCACGCATACGCACCGTGGCACATCACTTGGCTTGCCTTGAAAGGGGGGATGCGTAAGAGAAGGGGTGTGGGGGGATGTTGTCAACGAATGCGTAATTGGTCTTTCGTTTGCTGCATTTAGTTGCAGCAGTTTAGTTTTTGTGTGTCGCCACAGCTATCAAAGAAAAAATAGAGAAAAACCCCAAAAATAACTCAAGTGTCACTCGCGCATTCCATGAGAGCGAGCTGCAGAGCAGCAAAGAGCTCGGCACAGTAAAGACTGGCTACAAGTGACGGCAGCTGACATGCCGACAGCCGACTATATCAGACAGATAGATGTCTATATATAGTCGGCTGTTGATGCTGATCTCGAGTATATATATAATGTATATACCTTGCCAAAACTATTCACTTCCTTAGCATTGCTTTCTATCTATATCTTATCAAATCTTATCAACTATGGACTACAATATAATGTAGATTTATTGGAAGAATCGTTCATTTCATAAATTTAATATTTTTCAAAGCATCTTCTACAAACTCAGCATTAACGAGCTTCACTTATTTCCCAGTCTAATTGCAAAGTCTTATCAAATCGTACGCCTAGCTATAGCTGTAATCGTTTGTAAAATAATGTTGTTGACGGACGCACTTAGCTAGTGTTTACTGTGCTCCTTTAGATCGCCGTTTGCATTGTGCGTCGTTTTCAACTATTTTTAAGCATTCGTCTCATGCGCTGCGGTTGCCAGCAGCACTTGACAATTGCTGTATCCGCTTGCCGCTTCTCGTTCTTGTCCCTGTTGTTGTCCCTGTTGTTGTTGTTCTTGTTGTTGTTGTCGGTGTTGTTGTCTCGCCCTCATCCGCTTAAAGCTGCTGCTTTTGCCCGGCTTCCGTTGCAGCATTTTGATGTCACACTCATTCATTTGTCACGCATCACAGTTGCCGTTGCTGCTGTTGCTGGTTTGTTTACAGCTGTTGTTGTTGTTGTTGCTGCTCAAGAGTGCGAGTCCGAGTTTATTCTTGGCATCATTAAGCGTCGCTGATAACACTTAACATAGTTATGCGCGCATATGGCAGCGGCATGTGGCACATGCTCTGCCCGGCTCGGCTCTGCTCGGCTAAATGCCAGCCAGTTGTCATTCACAAAAAAAAATAAATGTAAATTTCTAGTGGTCACGTGATGCTGCAACAACAACAGAGAGAGAGAGAGAGAGGCAGGGAGGGGTAGCTAGAGGGGGATATAAACTAGCAGAGACTCAACAACTTTCGCTTTGGCTTTTCGCAAGTTGTTCGCTTTTTGTTTTCGCTTTCACAGCTGTCTGACATTTTGGGTCAGTTGTCTCATTTATTTGCCGCTTCTCAACTTTAAATGTGATTTATTGCACGGCAGCAAAAACACAAACAGCGAGAAGCGAGGGGGGGAGGGTGGTTTGGCGCCTGTGAAAGTTTTTGCGCGTTGAACACGGCGTATGATTAACGTCAACGAGTCGTATGCACAATGCGAGCTGCAAGTTGAAAACTGATTTTCAAACTGCAACAAAAGTATAAAAATAATTCAAATAACTGCGCGCAGCGACACATGGAAAAGCTGTTAATGTCCAATTATGAATAAATGCGTCCATCTCAAATTGACTCAGCCGGAAAAGTAGTTTCCTTTTCAAGCCAAAGAAAGTGTAGTGAAAAAAATTGGGCAAGTTCTCTAAAAGTAATAATGTGGAAGTGCGGAAAATGCGTCAAGAGTTATTGGGATTACGTTCAAAACAATTACGAAGACACGAGGAAAAGCAGGCTATGTTCGATTACGAGCCCAAAAATGCATGCAGCCCATATCTCAAGCAAGGTCGGGGTATTCCGGCTAGTACTTAATAATTTAAATTGCAAATACTTACCAGCTATTTATATATAAAAGCTGTCAAAACATTCGTTTGTTGAACCTGCCTTTTTCTCATCAACTGCAAATAGGACTAAATTTTGGCGTATCCTTGACTATCCTTTTGATTTGGCCATAACGAAAATCCTTTGGCAATTGCAATTGATTTTTCATTTACCTTTTTTTTTTACGTTTGCGTTTCTTTGGATTATCAAACAATTTGATTTCCGTGTTCATGAGAGTGGGAGAACTGCCTGTCTGGGTTTATTTTTTGTCTTTCCTGATGCCATCACAGGGCGTATATCCGGAGCGTTCCGTTGATTGCCAGCTCGGCATCAATAGTTGTTTAATGCGAGTGGAAGGCAATGCCATTTTGCCTTTTGTTTGGCCATCAAAGTCAGAGCAAGTTGTCTAATGACTGCAATTTGATACGCTTATCAATGATTCATTTGGCAATCACCTGAAAGCGCACTGTAAGCCGGCGGACTACAGAGTTGGCTGCTCATTATTATAGCAATTGCATTTGACAGACACAAAGCAGCTGGTTAAACTCAAACTCAAACTCAAACTCAAAGTCAAATAAAATAAAGGCGCAGTCTGAAGGAGCTCTGCCCAAGAGCTGGGCACAGACAGCGCTTAGACTTAAGACTTATCGAAATTAAATTTCTTGTTTAGCAGACACTTAAAAGAGCAAGTTCACTTTTTTCTCGTCTTTCTTTTTTTTTTTTCCTCCCGGGCGTAGCACGCGGCAGTTTTCTGCTCTACCAATTAGCAACGGCCATAAATTCTGGCGACTACCCCTGGCTGGAGCTGGAGCAGGAGCAGGAGCAGGAGTTACTTGTAGAACAGGAAATCGACTCCGGCTGGCTGGCCGCAATGGCAAATGAATTTCAGGTATGAGCCACTTAAATCCATATCGAGCACAGATAAACCCCGACCCTCTCTCGCTCTGTCCGAAAAAAAAAGAAAATAAAACATAAATCACGCGCTTTTTTCTTGTTGCTGCCACACACTTTTAGGGCATTTTAAACTTTTTTCCGGCTCAGATGTCTATCAGTGCACCGGGTTCACGAGCACGTGACCACGTGCTGGACACGCTCCACTAGCCAGAATTCCATTTCCAAAGGACCAGTCGGTCGTTGGTCGTTGGTCGTGAGCTCAGTGCATTCAGTGGAACAGAACCATATTTGAGTTGGGAAATTTACGCGGTGGTCTTCTGTTGCACTATATATTGTTGTATATGAATCGGTTGATATTTGAGAGTGGGCGAAGATAGCGAGAGAGCTAGAGAAAGAGAGAGAGAAAGAGATCAAGAAACGAGTATGACAGTGAGTCTTTAAGTTTCCTGCTCTTTGATAGAAACGACAGACACAGGGATAGAGAAGAAAAGGGAGCGTAAGGGGAGAGAGAATGAGATAGAGAGAAAGAAAGAAAGGGGAAAAAAGGGAGGTGGAAAGTTAAGGTTGACAAGCGTCGAGAGAGTACGAGAAAAAGAAAACCATTGAGGGAAATAGATAGAGAGAGAAAAGATTGCCAATGTAAAGCGTGAGAGTGAGAGAGAGAGAGACAGAGAGAGATAAGATTGCCCATATCTAGAGAGAGAAAACAGAGAAAGAAATATAGAGAAGGAGAGAAAGAGAGAGAGAAAAGATAGTTAACGTCACTTTTTGATATTATAAAATTCAAAAACTTTAAGTCTTACTTGAATTCATGAAAATCGCATAGAACGGCGGCGTTTAAACACGTTTCTATTTAATTTGCAGCGCAGCGGCAAAATTGTGTACGTTAATTAAAATTGTTGTACGCATATAATTTATGCATAAATTCATTTAAATTCCTAATTGCTTCGCTTACATTTTGGCCTATGAAAAAAAAAACAACTATAATTTCATTGTGAGGCTGCCGTAAAAAAAAAATTTAATTAAATTTTTGGGCAAGCTCCTATTTGCGATTTCGGCAATTAAACTGCATTAAACATGGCCTATTAAATAACATAATTCAGTTCGATTTTATTATAAAAACAAATCAACTGGTATCTTGTTTTTATCAATAACAGTAATCGCAGTTATTGATTATTTATTGCGTAATAGCTGCCAGCTATTTTAATCTCCAAGTCCAATCAGCTCAACTGTTTGCCAATGGACAGCAATTTCTATATTTCTCTATGTGGGCGTGTGCCCAGAAATTTTCTAATTATGGACGGCACAAATGGATGCGTACGAATGTGGCCTCTGGGCCGGCTGACTGTCAATCCCTTCCCTCGCAGCTGGCTTAAGTCGCTGGAGAGCTGAAAGCTGGACTGTTGTTGCCTTTGCCTTGATTTGCTTTGCTTTGCCTTGTTGCTGCTGTTGCACTTGCAACATCGCTTGGTGGCATATGCTCATGTCCTTGGGACAGCTGCTGTGAATTTTTAGATTTTCCAAATTCATGCAAATATTTTTGCATAACAACAACAATATGAACAGCTGCTTTTATGGCTTGCCCAAGTGCCTTCGCCTTGGTTAGTTAGTTTTTATTTTCAACGCTTCTCTGGTCTGTTAAATATTCCATATTGATAAGGAAGCGCCTTTGAGACCATTTTATGCACTCCGTAGCGCACATATTTGGCTATATACTTTTAATTTTCATATTTGACACTCGACGCAGTGTCGGCGTTCCGGATTTTAGCTTTGAGTTTGGGCCAATGGAGTTGAACGCGTGCCGTGTTTGCTTGCGTGACACGAGGCGTGCTATGAAACTAAAATTCTCCTTTATAATAAAAGTGTAAAAAGTGCTCTAGTCGGAAATGTGCGTCTAAAGGATACGCTAAAGGATACGCCTTCTTCGACTTACACCAAATGCAAATACCGAACCCTCTGCCTCATTCCTAACAGTCCTACCCTACCCCTTCGCACAGGAATACAGAAATTCTTGAAATTTTCACGCCCTTTCAATATAATCTTTAATAACTTCTGTGTCTCTTAACCGATGACATTTCTTGATGACATTTTCAGCAGTAGATTTTACTGTGCTAAAGAAGCTTCGTATATTCTTACAACCTAAAATATTGCCCCAAAACAAGGACTTCGGAATGGATTTTTATTGATTACTTTGAATCGGGGCTAGTTATCGATTATCCGAAATAAAGTTGCCCTGCGCGAGCAGATATGGGATTTGCCTGCCCTTTATTTAAAGTTTTTTATTTAGAAAACAAATCAGAAGCTTAACATTTTTGAGAATTTAATATTTAATTTATTTTTTTTTATTATTTTCAAATTTTTCAAGCCAACACGCGCGCTTCTCTAGCCGCATTAAACGGCTCTGCGAAACTCTTGAGCTCCGGCTGCATTGTTGGTTGTCTTTAATGTGGCTTGGCGCTTGCCAAATTGCCAAGTTGCTAGTTTGCAGGCACGTCCAAGTTCTTGACTTAAAAAACAAAAAAAAACGAAGAAGAAGTAAAATAGAATATACACCAGGGATTACTTTGCTTAATTCAACTGCAAATGAAAAGTGTTTGTTCGGTAAATTCAATCTTGCCAGCATCTTGTTGACGTTGTCATTACGTCCTGGTCCTGACCCTGGCACTGGCTCGGTTTCAGCTGCTGGGCTCATGGTTATGGCCGGGTCGGAGAGAGATGTGTCTAAAGCGGCGCCCTCTTCGAGTTCATCAAAGCGTAATCTGCACAAAATGCCGGCATTTCCTGCTTGTCGCACAGGCATAAAAAAAAAAAATAAAAAAAAAAAAGAAATGACGCCAACTTTAAGCTAACTATGCGTCCTTGAGCCGCTTTAGGCGTGAGGCCCGTGCCCGCTCCGCGCTTCGCATCTAATGGAGTCATAATTCTTCAGCTCGTTAGCAGCAAATACATGCAACGTAAATATGCTTGCCCCAAAATAGAATGCCAGACATTTTTCGTGTGCCTCACATTTTTGCATACCCCGCAAATAGTTGAACATATTTTGCGGGCTGCATGCGCCTCACAGTTGCTCGCTGGATATAGGCGCGGTGGCAGGGCATCTGCCAATCGTGGCAACTCTCAGATCTGGCAGTGTATTAAGCCTTTTGGACTTTTAGGGCAACGCCCACCGACAAGCTGCTTAATTGAAAAGTGTTTTGTTGGGATTTCGAGGCGGCGGCGTCTGCCACCTGCTCCCACGGCTGCTGATTTGGCAACTTTTGCTTTTGCAGTCAATAATTTGCCCTTGTTTATGCGCGTGCCTTGGCTAACAAAAATGAAAAAATGAAATAAACAAATTGTAAAGGGACATCAACAGAAGCCGACAATTTTTCAAGGCTCTTCCTGCCTGCCTGCCTGCCTCCTGCTCCGTCCTGCCGCATCCAGTTTCCAGCCCGGGCATCTTTGCTTCCTCGGAGCTTGTGCCTCCGTCGGGCGCTACCATAAATAATTATGTTATTTTAGATAGCTTGTGCTGCCTCTTGTGTCGCCTTGAAAATTGTTGCAATAATTATCACATTTTTCACGTCGCCATTTTTCATGCACTCAGCGAACGATGCTCAAAAATCTCACTCTGACAGTTTTTTTTCCCATAATTAAGCAGACGCGGGCGCCAATGCCACGCCCACATACACAGTCTCGTTCTTTATGCTTTATGACAGACATTAGAGCGATAAGCATTTCTTTTTTTTTTCGTTTTTTTATGTATTTTTAATTAACTTTCGTGTTGTTTGTGTGCCGCATAATCCCATCAACGCTGCTGCTGCTGCTGCCGCTTGCCGCAACAAATTGGCCAAATCAAAAGGCAGCCAAATCGGGTCTGTTGCTCGTTTTGTCCTTTGTGTGGTCGCCAGTCTCAAGTGTTTGTCTGTCTAATTGGCAATTTTAATTAGCCAGCCAACGATGCTTGCCAAAACTGTCCAGCTGTTTGTCCACTGTACTCTGCATCCGTTCCCGTTTCCCGTGTGGCCAATCTGCGCAGTTTTGTACGCATCTAATATGAAATCGCTTAAATTCAGTCCAGCAAATTTATAGACTGCAGTTTGTCGACCCGCATCGCGCCAGCCACCACCAGCTTACGGCAAACAGTGCCGCGTTTACCTTCCCGTGATTGTGCTGCCGGCGGAAGTGCAACACTCTCTCAGCCGGCCAGGTGCAGCTCAAGAAGTTTATCACATTTTCACTTTAGCAGCAAATACAACTATCAAACTTTAAACCTTGGCCTAAATTGACGCCAAGCTTAATGCCATATTATTTTGACTTAAAAGCGTCTCTGTTCGTCGTGAACACCCCTACTTAACTCCAAGCTTTCACAAATTTGCCGCAAATTAAGCGATTTTTACGAATGAGTTTGACAAATGGTTTGGCCTGCAGATTGATTCTTTCTATAATACTGAAAATAATAAAAATAGGATTATAATATATATATATTTAGTTTTGACTTGGAATCTTCAAACTATATTAATTATCGATTGCGGGCTTATTAATTAGAATTGAATATATTGAAAAGATTCTGGGTGGGTTTACTTGTCTTTAAAAAACATGCAAGAACTGCTCAGTTCGTATTAAAAGCTCCGCAAATCTTTTCAGCTTCCTCAACTATAATGAAAAGGGTCAGTTTTGGTGAATATAGAATCTAGAATCCAAAATGACTAAAATGTCCAGTCACCAGTAAATGCCCGACTAGAGTGCTCTTGATGGTTTTCTTCGTATAAAAACAAAAGCTTGAGGCGTTAAATATTCGCTTGGGCTACTTAATTAGCCCACCTCGCTCGGCTGTGACTAAAATATGTATGTACTGTATGTACAATATAAAACATGGCTTAAATGCGTTGACACTGTTTGCAACAGCTTTCAATTAAGCTGCTGTCGTTCGCTCGCTTCCCTTTTAATTAGGTGCCGAACTAGCGCATTTTTATCGCCGTTTTCTACTTTCCGCTTTTTAGTTACCTTTTTAGAAGGCGCCCTTATTAATTGCACCTGAAATTGTTGGTAAATAACACATTGCCCATACGCAGCGTTGCACCGGAAATTAATTTCAGTGCGCTTTTAAGTTTGACATAAGAAAAAAACACGATGCTTACGAATTCCTTGGCAAACAGGTTGCCATCTTAATGAATGCGCGGATTATTTAATTTGCGCAACATTCTTAACGTTTATTCATTTTATTGCAGAATGTGCCCGTTTCTGAAAACTTTCCGTTGCAATTGCAAACCTGGCTAATGGATAGCTACGGCCTGAGCGCCGTCGATGTCTATCGGAGCTGGCCCACGGCTCGATCTGGCCGTGCCCGGCAGCTGACCTGCAATGCACTCGGCGTGTGCCATGAGTTGGCCCAAATTGTAGACGCATGTTGTCCATTTTGAGCAACGCGGCGGGGGTGTGGCAAATAAACGCATTTAAAATCGTTCAGAGTATATCAAAATGTTGTGCACGGTCACAGTCAGAGTCACAGTCAGGACGGGCAATGGCCCACAGACAATTATTGATCACCAGATGCGGAGTTGAGAGTGTCCGCAATGTGACCATTAAATGTTGTTGCTGTGGTTTGCCTCTTGGTCAACTCGTTGTCGCTGTTGCACAGACAAATAATCGAACTCCCAGCTGCTACTGCCAAGTGCAGCGACAGTTCTGTGGCGGCCATTTTATACCCTACACTCGGCGAACACAACAAGGGTATGCTGGATAGCTGTTTGTAGTAAGTGTGGGAATATATTGTAGTCCTGGTTATAGGGTATTGTGTGTGGTTTATACTGATCATGTATGCAAGCTATCGTCTGAAATTAGCTTTGTATATAGGGTATTGTGTGGTCTGCCTACTAACTATGCATGAAAGATATCATGTGAAACAAGTAGGATTTGATATAGCATGCATCACTATACATGAAGGCTATCATGAGAAACTAGCTTTGGGTATAGGGTATTGTGTGGTCTATATACTAACTATGCATGGAAGCTATCATGAGAAACTAGCTTTGCATATAGGGTAGTCTATGTAGTCTATATACTAGCTGTACATATTAGCTTTCGGGCGAAACAGACATAATATGGGCGCTGCATCCGATTGTTTGATTGAAGCATATTCGCTTAGCCTACAGGGTATCACTTGGTCGACTCTGTAAGTAGTTCTTTATAGCCGTGTTTATTGAACTTTTTATGCGTGGCGGCAATCAGTGGCATGAATGTTCAAGCGCGTGCAACAAACAAAAAAAAAAGAGAAAGGACAATGGTAAAAGCAACGGCGAAAAATCAACATGCAACAGCCAGAAAGGAACAACAACAACGTCAAGCAACATCAGCAGTGGTTGCCGTTTTCCATTTAATGCCCATTAACAATAAACGTGGATAAAGGATATGCTCGACTAGTAAGTACCAATGTTTTTATATGTAGAAGTATTTATATGTTAGGGTATCTGTCAGTCGAGCATGCTCAAGCATTGTTTTGCAATGCGTTACTTTTTTGGCCTTTTGCATACAGATTTGTTTTTGCCATCTTCCGGCACGGAATTGTTTCCCTGCCGAACAATGTGATTTTCAGCGTGAAATTTTATTCAATCTGCATGGACACAGGCCAATGCGCTTCCCATCGCTCCATTGATTCCCCTCTGCACAATTAAAGGCTAGGGTATACCAAAAACTCAAAAAAAAAAAATTAAATAGTACAGGGTAGGCTTTTTTTTTTTTTTGGTAATTTGCCATTTATCTGGTTTTTATTTAGTTTCTTGTGGAGTGCAAAAAATTTGGATGTTGTTTGTTGAAGTTTTTTGAAATTGCTTTTAATTGCACAAATTGTTTAAACATATTGAAAGCACATGTAATTGCTGCAGTTGTGTGCATTGTTTATAAAGCGCTTATTAAATACATTTCGTGTATATTAATCATGCTTTATTTACTTTTTTAATTATATATATTTGAACACCTAATGACTATGATTAATTGCTTGGCTTCTATAGAGATGTAATTGATAACACATTGCATTTACCAGCTATTCAAATTAACTTTATTTATGTGGTTATTATAAATTGTTTGCTTTTAAAATCTTTTGTCTGTGGCTAGGCTTGTGTGAATGTATTTGAATATGTATGCATGCATGTACATATGTAAGCATGTATAACAGGTGCAAACTAAGCCTAATTTTAGCTGCGTTACAAATGACTTATTTTTGTTCCCTTCTCCGCGATTCACAAGATTTCACGTAGGCCCTACAGGTTTTTATGCTTGGATAGTAAGGATGGTAGGGTGAAGTGTAACAAAAATATGCATGTATGTATGCATGTATATATGCATGCATGCATGTATGCATGTATGCATGCATTCAAGCGTGTATGTATGCATGTTGGTATGTATGTATGTGTGTATGTGTGTAGGTATATATGTATATTGTATGAATTTATGTATATATGTCTATATACAAACATGTATGACGACTGCTAGCCAAGTTTACTTTCCGCTGCGCAACAAACGTATTTATTATTGTCCCCTTATCCGCGATTCTCATGACTTCAAGTAGACTCTGCTTTGATGGTAGGTGAAGTGTTATATAAATAAGTTGTGTATGTGTTTTCGTATGTATGTCTGCCATTATTTGTATAATTCGCTATGTCTGTATGTATATATATATATATATAAGTATTTGTTCACGTAGGCTTTCTTCTATCAAGCGCAGCACAAGTTTACTTTATCTTTGTATTCCTCTTTTATTGTATTTATATTTATTTCATCTAGTCTTGCTCCTAACCGCTTTTTGCCTCCTCAGTTATTTGTGTGTTTGTGGGTGTGTAAATTGTTGGACACTTAAATAAATATTTACATAATATAATGCAAAAAGAATATGTGTTAAAGCAACTGCGAGCTGGACGCGGGCTATGCCCCAGGTATTTAAAATGTATTTATTTTTACTTTTTTTCTTATCATTCGATTGATGTACATCATTTGCATTGCTCAATGCACAAATTTGTCAATTATCTTCTTGTTTGAGCGGCATTTTGTATTCAATTAAGTGAGCCGTGAGTTTATTTAACTTTTATTCTTCTTTTTATTGCTGTCAACCGAACACAAAATGCGTTGATGCATACAAACAAAAAAAATAATGAAAATTGATAAAATAAAAATCATTTGGTTGGCAAGCAATATACATAAATAATTGCCGTATACCTTTTGCAGCTAAAGCAGTTACCAATTGGTTTTTTTCCCCAGTTAATCGAAATGTGCATAAAAGAAAGACATAAAAATTGATAAAGCAGAAAAAAAAATTGTTTTTGCAGCCGCAAAGAGCCAACAGAAAATTGATATTTGTATTTGTTTCAAGAATATTGCATACGCTCAAATATTCAATTTATTTAAAAGATGTGAAAAAAAATTATTTGAAAAAGAAGTAAAAAAATTATGAACATATAAAAGTCCATTGACCACAAAAATAAATATTTTATAAAGTTTCTTTTGCCTTATGTCATTGGTATTGGTTCGCAGTTGCTCTGTAGGGTAATTGACAAGGATATTCCTGCAATTTAATTAAAGATCATCAACAATGCATTAGACAAATAAACACAATATAAACATATATAATATGTTGCATGTGTTGTTAGTAAATAAACAGATTGTTTTTTTTTTTTTTTAAAGTAGCTGGCCGAAAACGTCGTTGCGGGACTTTAGTTCAAGCTGTGACTAATGCCAATTTGTCTGAGTGCCCGTTTCAGCAACTAACAAAACACGCCTACACCACCCAACCACCCAACCAGCCCACGACCTGTGTGAGATATGTAATGCAATGTAAACGATATTGCTTCACATCAACTGTCAGGCGGCATTAAATAATATTTTGCGCTCCAAACGCGACCAAAGAACGCTGTTGATGTGCCGGCAGGGGGGACCAAAGCTGGGGCAGAGCTGTGGCAGAGCTGGGGCAGAGCTGTGGCAAAGCTGATGTGGCAGCATCGTCAGGGACTGTGACATTTTTGACTGCACGCCAGGAGCAAAAAGCCGCACCCTGGCAGCCAGGCGGACAGACAAACAGACAGACACAGAGACACACGGATGTCATGTGCTGTATTATGTAACACATACGGCATATTAACAAACGGCGTATTTAATATTTTAAGCAAACTACATACATTTTCCAGCGGTAGCAGCAGCAGCCTGCCATTGAAATTGTGCAAGAGCAGTTGCATGTACTCAGGCTATTGCATAAGGATTGTGAGGGGGGAGGGGTGGAGAGGAGCAGTGCTTGTGGAGTTAAGTTCGTGCCATTTTGAAGGTGAATTCAAGAAACTAATGAAATTTCAGTTGACTTCTCTAGACATGACCATGGCCTGTATTTTAAAGCCAAGTGCAATAGCAAGTGCAAAGAAAAAAGGCCCTTCAAAATAAATCCTCTTATTTGTTTGGACATTGAATTTGTGCAATAATCAACTAGTTTTGATAATGCATATTTTGTTAATTGCTTATATTTTAAGAATTTAAGAAAAAGTGCAAGTGTATATGATTCTTGTGCTTAGAATCTAATGGAATTGCTCAAAATGCAGGATTTCGATATAGATTTTAATCGATTGCTTGGAAACGGGGCATGTTATCGATTATCGGAAGATATTCAAAATATCAAGTCTCTAATAGATTCTGTGACTAACATTCGGGAAGCAGGGCGGAAATGGCTGGATCGACTTGATTGTTGATGCTGATCAAGAATATATATACTTTATGGGGCTGAAAATGCTTTCTGCTGCCTGTCACATGCACTCGCAGGAAACCCTTATACCCTATTGACCAATTTTCAATGGGCTTAGGGTATGCAAAATTAAATATGTGTTTTGATTATTTAGTAATTTGTTTTGGCTTAAGCCTAACTTTAAGGCTTAGGGAATTGATATCGTATTTTGAGCACATGCAGCCAAAAAAGAGGAACATAATCTAAATGAGTTCTCTACTTTATTCACCACATTTCTAAGCCCTCTTACATCTGGGGATTAAAAGTATGTCCTGTGATGAGCATAGCATATTTTGTTTAATTTAAATTTCAATTGTATATTTTCGTCAGAGTACAAGTTTATTTCTACTTTCTTTGTTGAATGTACTGCATTATATGCGTGTTATTTTCTTAAAATGTTTGATTTAGCCAACTTTGGCTTTAACCTTCGAAGCGGAGCTAACTATGGGAATCGGAGGTCCCTTTTGCCATTAGCCATTTACCTGCTGCTGATGTAGACGTGCCCAAAATGCGGGCATCAATAATTTTGGCACTGTTTATTATGCAGATACACAAAATGGCGGACACACACACACACATACACACACACACAGACAGACAGACACACACATTCGCACAGGTCTCGAGCTCGTCTTGAGCAAACTAAGCTGACACAGCATAAAGTTTGCCCACACGCAGTCGAGCTGTCCTGGGTGAGGGTCAGCACCAGGGGGACTGGGCGGGGGTCAGGGGTCAGGTCGGTCTGGGGTCTGCTGGCGGCAACAGTTGCTAGCAATCATCTAGGCTGTTACCTGATTACAACAACAACAACAACAACAATGTAACAAAAACTTTGCCATTACGACAATGGGAGTTATCTGGCTGTAAATACATAATCTGCTGCCCGCTGCAGTTCTTTCGGTGCTACCCAAAGGTGCCTGTGCACCTTGAATGGGGATTTATTTTTATTGCCACAGCGCTCTTCTTTGGCATTAAGGGTTAAGCAGGTGCTTTATAAGACACGCCGTACCCGAACTGTAACTAAAGGCCAGCCAAATGGGTGTGTCCAAGTGCGTGAATGCCTTTCGGCTTTTGTTTGGCTGCCTGCTGTAAAATTCGCACCTCAAAATGTGTCCCCAAAGTGCAATCAAGAGATTTTTGTCAGTCACTTTGCCAACAGCCCGGGCAAAAGTTTAAGGCACTCCGGACCTTCGCTCTATTATAATTAGTTAAGCGGAGCATTAAATTAGGTGCGAACACTTTTAGTGCATGCGAATTATTTATATAGCTCGCTTTTGTTTGGACCGCCTTCAACTGGCATATTAATGCGCGCTAAGATATTTTCTAAAAATTTATGGCACTTTTTACTTTTCTATTAATTTAATGCATGGTGTTTATAAACTGAAAAGTTTTTGCTTGGATTTTATGAGCTTTGCTTTGTGATAAAAAATGTTTTGCTCAATTTTAGCGCAGAGAGACAGTTTTGCAAGTTGGAATTTTACAAGTTTGTGCTTTGTTTAATTCTGTAGAGAATATTACATAGGATTGAGGTGTGTTCTTTGGGGATTACTTGATGGTTTTAACTCCATTGCCTACCCAATATTCCAGGGCTGCAAACTCAAAATAAATATATCATAGGTTCGGCTCATGGTTCACGATTTGACTTCCTGTTTATAGATTCGCTAT